CACTCTGAACTAGTGAAGGTGCCCAGTCCGTCACTACTTCCTGGCCTGATCTGAATCCATTAATGCCGGTTCATTTTAGACGTTGGAAATAGTTGAGTGCTGGCAGACTGTATGTTCACTTAATAACGTCAGTATGACACCTTTTGGCAGGTCGCCTTCGGGTCACCTTCGGGTCACCTTCGGGTGGGGCACCATTTGGGGTTGGGTCTGACCGACTGATGACGGCTAATGAGCCGTAAATAGCCATTTCAGTCTCCCTAGTCCTTGTCGGTAAGGTCTTCCTTTTTGCCGAAACAAAAACGTACAGCTGGCCCAAAGGTTGACTAGCTTTTGCGATTTGTCCCTTATTTTCGTCGTCGAGCAAAATACTCTTCGAGATTAAGTACAAGGTAAAAAAGCTTTACTTAGCCATTGGAGGCTGCCCGCAGTTCTCTTTCACCATGATGCTGCCGAAACGTTGCGTAGTCGATAGTGCGACCATCAAAAACGTAATGGAGTTGCTCAATCAGACGCGCTAGCTGTTCAGCTATCGTATTTGATCAGTTTTTTTTACTGCACACTGCGCCAAAGGCTCTTTTAGAATAGATGGACGTTAGCTGTGTCACTAGCTGCTAATATGCGCTTGTACCAACATTCATTTTGACTCCGCGGGCTCAACCCCGCAGGCTCATCACACCACACGATAATACTGCAATACAGTCACGGCACCAATTTCCTGGACGAGGTTTATTTATTTCCCAGATCCGATGCCCTCGATATCTGTGCTTACCATATCCATCTATGCATTAATTTGGGCCGACGCTGTTGACAGTGCCATCGATTTTGAATCAGATGACATATCAGACGATTTCGCCTCATGCCGGGGCGGCACACGCCTGAGTCATTTGAACGATTCTGTCTCTAAGTGTGACCATGTAGTCGGCAGAGAGGTGGTATGCGAGGCGAATTTGGTGAATGGCGTACAAGCACCGTCGACCAAATATGTCCGGACGTAAATGTCGCCTCGCACCTGCTTATACCATTGTTTGATGGAATCCCCCCGCACTCAACTTCGTCCTCAGACTGATCCGACTCCGATTTCAGCGGTTTTGACGAGGTCGGTTTAAAGCCGCACCCACCTGATTGATTGGATAGTTAACCTCACATTTATCTCAACCGTTTACCATAAAGTTGAACCTAAGGTAACAAGAACTGTTTGCTAATTCGGGCGTACATCTTAGACAGCCTAACCCAGGGCGATCCTCTTCGTCTTGGAGGAGTTGTTCTTAAAGCCAACATCAGCTGCTGCCTGCCTGTTTGGGACACAGCGTCCTCATGAAATCAAAATTCCCCACACATTCGGCTTTCCCGCCGACTCTGTCGTGCAATTTTCCGCCCAAAGGCTAGTCTAGCCGGGGCATTTTATCAGGCCAGCCGTTCGCAACCCTGTCGGGATATTAAACAGTTATCGGTGGATGACACGTTTTGCACTACCTTTCATCAAATTTTGATAAGACGTAAGATGATATTACCTTAGTCGCGCGACCCTCTAGATTACTCTGTGCAAAATGTTCGCCGAGTCATAATTTATGCGACTGCAGAAGTTTACAATGTCCTTGATCGTAACCTTGTCCCTCCTGAAGTAAAGGCGCCTTAGAACTTGCTCTCTCGTATGAACCGTGTTTGAGAAAGGCGTCAGTTGTAATAATCTTAATGAAGTATGCCAACTCATGCTTCGTAAATAATCACAGGTTTTCTGCATTCAATAGATTGGGTAATTGTTATCCATTTGTGGTTGGACATTCATTACGTGTCTGGCACCTACTATCAAACACGGACGAGCACACAGCAGTGATGATGCTCGCATACACGGGTGCACACATACTGGTGGGACCGGCAACAGCAACAGCAACAGCCCCGATGTACACAGGTACACACACAAGGGACTTCCGCCGCCACTTCATCGCTCCGCATCCTTCCAGGACTGCGTGAGCAGCGGGCGGTGGGGGAGAGGGTGAGGTCGACCCTCGGCGCGTTTCTTTCCTCACTATAATAAATCCGATGCGCTTAAATCTATCGCGGTGCGCTAAAAGCCGTGGCTTGGAGGTGTTAGGATGTTAGCCGAACCAAATGTTGAAGCACGCAGTAGATATCGTTGAAATCGACTGTCGAACTATCGGCACCTACTATCGTTACGCCGAATTCCGCCTCACCAAACGGTCAGACTAGAAGCACTAAGTGAACAAGGCCTGAAGTTACACAGTAAAATCTTTTCATTAAGTAACGCCACAGCGCCCCTCATTATCATGCGTGACCTGCCAAATGCGTCCTCATCATTTGGCTCACGACTATTTACACTATCTCTTGGTTCTCTAGCCCCCCTTACTTATTAATATCCTCTGTTGTCTTATTTTTTACCTGCTCATACTTCTTCAGTAAGGATTTAGGATGCGAACATCTCAATCGCGTTTTGCGGGAAACCTATTTTTTTAAACCGTCGGAACATATATTTTTTACCTTTGTGAAGTTTCGTACTCTCATCAACTTCCATAATTCTGTTTTGTCCAGGAGGCTCAGGAGAAACGGCGAGAGGAACAGGAACAATTAGCTGCCAAGCGCAAGGCCAAATACACTTCCTTCGGATTTGGAGGTTTTGGCCGGTAATACTTGCTAGCCTACTCTTCCGCCCTGTACTCCCTCCGCTACTAGTAGAGCTGCAGTTTTTAGCGAAATCTTGTGATGTGCTGACGTCTTCCCGTTCTTAGTCTTTTGTAAAAATGGTATATTTTGTATAATTATTACTTGTTTTTGTTACGTCTATTTGAGGAATGCAAGGAGAGCTTGCAGTACAGAGATCATAAGGGATAAATAAGAATCAAGTTGTGGTCGGACCCCTCTGAATTGCAAGGTACACAAATATACACCCAGTAGCTATTTCGGCTCAAGATGTACACATACTAAACAAGACCAGTATTAGGAGGAAAAAGGAGGGATCTGCTGATATCATCAAATTTTGTGGCCCCTCATTTAGTCACCACTGTTAGTCGCCAGTTTATGAATCGGTGAGCGTTCCTCATGGAAAAGCCATAGAAGTCATTCAAGATGTGTGAGGTCGACATGGGACGATAGTTAGGTATACGGGCACGCTTGGTCAGCAGTTTTGGCGCAAATATCCAGTTGGAAGTGACATTCGGTCGTATTCCAACCTCGAGCGTTATACTTTAGTACCGGTACTAGGAGGGCGCAGCGACAAATTGTGCCTGAAGGTTATCATTCGGGGTACACGTGTGAACATCTGCCACATTCTTCTCTCTTGCTAACTACCGGTGAAAAGACAGTCAGTGTGGATCCAGTGACCTATGCGGCTAGAGTCTTGTCTGCGTGTACCACACGAGTGTTGAACCCCCTACTCTACGAACCTGCCCTCAATGAGGTCTCAGGCCTCATTAGTTTAGCAAGACTATGCAGTTACCAATGGGTTGCCAAATGTTAAGGTAATAAATATCACCGCTTAGTGATGGTTTGGAGCCGTGTTTAGCTCTTTATTGGGAAGAACCAGGCTAT